ATAAGTTTGAATCAATTTATGCACAAGTTAAAATTGGTTTTCAAATAAATTAAAATTAAAATTAATTTATATGTAAGATAATTTAACTTATTCTTTATATATATATATATATATTAAAAGAAACTTATGGAATTTCTTATTATATTCTTCCACCATGAATGTAAATTAAGAAGTTTCACCTTAATAAGTAAGTGTGTTTGGATGAAAAATTAAAAAAAAAAATTGAAATCTAAACATCTGTGAAATTCTTTAAAATGATATAATTTCAAATTTTTCCCAGAAAGTAAGAATTTGAAATTTTTCATATTTTTTATCTTATTTCGTTTATATATTTTATCTTATCTTTTTGTGTTTTTAATTATTAAATATCCAAAAATATTTTTTTAATTATTAAATAATATCTAATATTAATTTTTAAAATTATTCAATATTTAAAATTGACTCATTTATTTTTATAAAATTTAATTTAAAAATCTCAACATATGAATATATTTTTAAAATTAATTTTACCATAGTAGAATCAAATTATCATATTCAAACTAAAAAATTTGAATTAACTTATCCAAACAAAATATTCTAAAAATGATAAAAATTGAAATTGAAGCAATTCAAATTTCTAAAATTTCTAAAATTTCTCATCCTAACACTATTATTTCTATTAATTTTATTTATAAGAGGGTAATTTTTCCCCCGAGAAAAGTTCAATTATTATGTTTTTATAGTGTATCATCTTTTTTGTGTGTGTATGTGATGATACATTCAGCTACGAAGCAGTTCCCTAAGTTGGGTTTTGTTAGCCCTTCCTCTTGAATCTGCTTAAGTATCACTACAACAAAATTGATTATTACCGATAATTATTTAGTAAAAATAAATTAATTATTTTTATTTTATTATTTAATAAAAATATTAATGCCTAATATATAATGACCACTAAAAATATATTTATATCACACCAAAATTTACTATTAACGACAATTATTTATTTAGAAAAACTTAAGTCGCACATTACCCAGAAATAAGATAAATAAAAAGTATATAAATGGATATGATAACTCTCACCTTACAAGTTTGTTTTCTAAGGTTAAGTTAAACCTATAACTTACTATTCTCAATAGTCCCTAAACTTGAGGGAGTGTATTGGGAAAAATTCAAATCTTACATTGACTATTGATAAAATAATTAATTACGAGATAAGACAATTAAAAAATATATAAGTAAAAAACAATTCTCATCTTACAAGTCTTACATCGAGTAGAAAGTAAAAAATGTCACAAAAAGTTATATACTTTTTTCGACCATTATAAAAAATTTTACCAGCATTCAAAATAATTGCTGCTAAATGTTTTAGCGACACTACATACAATGACTATTGCGAAAATGCAGCTAAAAGATTTTGTACCAATTTTTATTATCACTAAAAATCATATTAAATGTCACTAAAAAATTTAATTTATTATGGTGTATAATTTCTACTAGTGGTATGAATGAATCCTCAAAAAGGAACTGTTCCAAACTTCTAGCAATAGCGCTTATATATATTTCTAATGTGAAATTTCATGCATTTTTCTTGGAGATAGGAACAGAAAGGAGTAAAGACAGACTAATGTACAGTTACATGAGAATGATGATGAGATGCAACTGAACTATATGTACAAATAGTCTCTCAATTACGTACCTAGGAAATTCAGAATTCAGAATTCCCTTTTGCCCATACTTCCTCCATGCATGATTGTCTTCAGTGGTGCTCGAGAGTACGGTCCATGTCAATGCACTCCTCCTACGAACAACAACTCAGGAATATATAATATGTCTCATGCATATCATGTATCATATAAAACAACATACTATAACATCTAGAATATATGTAAAACGCATCTCTGAAAAACTACAAGGAACCCCACTTGGATCTGAACCTCAATTACTTAAAATCAACATATTTAATTATCTCCATTAATTCTAAATTATTATCATCTGGTCCAACATATGCATAACCTCAAAATTTCAACTTCCTTTCATAAAAAATAAAAAATAAAAAATCTATCATGTAAAACAATGACACTCTCTATGTCCGTACGTCCGTACGTCCGTACAACCCCAATTCGGCAAAATCCTCTCATTGACCCAAATCGCCGATGGTTGAAGGGTTTGTAGTGAGGGGAAGTGAAGAATAAAACACTGTATCGCTGTAAGAAAAGCAAACCCTACATAGATTTGTCTGAAAGAGAATGAGTTTTGAACACGAAAACTCTTAAAAACACTTCTAAAATTGTATCAACTAATTCAGTATAAATAATAAATGGAAGATGATAAATATAACCTTCTATGATAGCGACCTCTTCCACCCTTTTGGGATCTCTTCCCACTCCCACTGCACTGATCATCGCCGGAACTGTGGAGATTCAGCGGAGGAATAACGTCATCTGCAGAAGCAGTTATGATAGAAAGAGCTTGTGTGAAAGATGTGAGGACATTGGCCATGAGTTCCTGAGATGAGAGAGAGTCCCGATCAGTGTCACTCCAAGAGGGGTTCTCGAGAAGAAGCATGAGTTGAGTAGCGGCTTCTTGGCCCTTAACAAGCTCTTTCATTATCATCACTTTTTTCCTCTTGAGTGAGACACTTTCACTTTCAGTTTCGGGACAAACCATGTTTTTCATTTTCTATGAGCTTGGAGGCTCTAGTTTTGGGAAGAAGAAGGAAAAAAAAATTATTTTGTGGTTTTGTTCTAGATTTGCGTAGCGGGTGGAAGGGGCTAAGGGTGAGGGTGAGAGTGAGAGAGAAGAGAAGAAAGGAAAACAAATGAACATAAAACGGTAGGATTAATGGGGATCGATGTGAGATGTGAAACCAAACCACAAACTATTGAATGAAATTAAACAATTTTATATTTTACGGACATCTCAAAATTGTCAAGTCATTAATGCTTCTTGGTGAGGGGAGAAAGTGAAAAGAAATAAAAAATAACAAAAAAAATAAGATAGAATTAATTTGATAAAAAATAAAGTGGTATTTATATTTGTTTAATAAAATAAAATAAAATTATAAATAAAGATAAATTAATATTTTAAAATTATATTTTATATATTGAAATTTTATGTATAAAGAAATTATTTAAGTTTTACTTAGTATAATAATAATAATTATTGTTAATTATATTTTAAGTTATTTCTTTTATTATAATACTAATTAATTTTTTTTTAAAATTATTTATTTAAAAATAAATAAGAATTATATATATATATATATATATGTATTATTCAATTAATCGATTATATATTATTATAATCATTGTATATTTAATTATGTTTATACTTAATCGGATATGACAAATGTTTTTGTCGAATTAGATTAAAAATGAACGATGAATAAATAATATATTTTATCATTTTTTAAAATTTTATGCAAGTCACTTAATGTTAGTAGGTATTTTTTTTTAATGTTAATAGAAAAATTTCACCACCAAAATAAAAATTTAATGATTATAGGAATGTTGAATTTGCATCATAGAAACGCAACCTTAGACTGGATTCTACGTTAACCAATTCTATACTTTCATAAATTTTATTAGTTTTTTTTAATCGAAAACATTTCAATCTAGTTTTTATATATAAATATAATGAAAAATATTTTCCTTAAAGAATATTTCAAAAAATAAAACTACTTTAATTTTTATAAAAATATATTTAAATTTTGTAATTCACGTAATATGTTTTAGTAAGATTTTATTGATTTGAGTTTGGGTAGAGCGAAAGAAAATTAACATTTGATTGAGTTGAGGAATTTAAATGGAGCATTTAAAACATGGGAGTTGCTTATAAGTAATCCCTGTATTACATTACTGTCATATTAGTTCTGATCCACTTTATAAGTTGCTTAAATTTTATGAAAATTGCTTATAGAAACAATTTTACTAAAATTTAAATAACTCATAAAATAAATCAGTACTGATACGATAGTGATGTGGCTCAGAAGGTTGCTTATAAACTCTCATAAAGATGAAGAAGCCATTACTGTCACCTACGATGACGTTTGATTGTGATGGTAAGGATGACGTTATTAGGGTGTCCATGAAGAGCAGCTTCACCTCATTTTGCGCGGAATACAATACATAGATAGATATCAAAAATAAATTATAAAATGTAAGATAATGGCTGTCACGGACCACCTTTATTCGGGATCTATGGTGTGCGCCCTGCTATCTTATTTTACCATTAAATTCATCTTAGCCATACCATTATAGTATACATCATTTGTACTGCCTTATTTTTTTACTCTTTTTTTAATAAAAAAAACAATTTCTTTGCAACTAATCTTTCTCTCTCCTCTCAGATCTTTCTCCCGTCTCTCGAGTGAGAGCACATTGTTTCTGAAGTTCACTAAACACTAACATATTCAAGACTTTAAGTGAGAGGAAAGGAATATAAGAAAATAAGATAGAATAGGTAAAAATTAGTTTAATAAAAATTTGATAAAAAAATTATTTGAAAAAGAATATAATTTGTAATTATTTGATAGAGTAGAATTAAGTGAGAAATAGTGTGAATTTGATATTTATAATTATTATTTTTTTATTTTATGTAATTTTACATGTTTTTCAAAATCTACAAAAATTCCTTCAATGGAAAGGATATAAAAGATGATGTGACACTCACTTTTAATTCCTCAAAATTCTCTTTAAATATTTTCTTCCAAATAAAAATATTTTTTTCTCAAATTCACTCTAATTTATCTCCCTCCCTATTAAATCACCTCCACCAAATATAGACTAAGTTAGTGAAAACAAGTCATTTAAAAAGGTAACTATTATTATACATATGAAAATAAAATTATAAAATAATACATAAAAAAGAGACAAACACTCTTTAGAAATGAAAAGTTTGTTAAAAAGGGACTTAAATATAAAATAGAAAATAACTAATAAAAGATTAAAAAAAATTGATAAGAATTGAGAAATTTAGAGCACCAGGTTCAAGTTATAAATTTAGGAGGGCTAAAAAAACATAAGATACATATTTATATTATCTTTAAATCTTAAACCCTAAACCTCCCAAAGTACATGTAAATCCTCCACTGAGCACATGCAAGCAATTGCCACTAATTGATGAAGGACCAAATAGGGGGAGCGGTGGAAAATGTTAGCACCCTCAAGGACATGAAAAGACACAATAGGAAGAGGCTTCTAGATGAGGAATGTGAAATGCAATGAGGACTCTAGCCAAGTAACAATGGTATTGTCAAAGTTGGAGAGGTAGGAGATGAATAAGATGAGAGAGCGAAGCCACGTGAGGAGGGATGCCAAAATCTTTATTGTTGTGCTTCGTCATCTCATTGTCATGGTTCGTTATCACATTCCACTCTCAAATATATGTTATCTCTAGAGTGAGCGCATTGCTTTTGAAGTTCACTAGACACTAACATATTCAAGACTTTAATGAAAGGAAGGAATAGAAGAAAATAAGATAGAATAGGTAAAAATTGGTTTAATAAGAATTAGGTAAAAAAAATTACATGAAATATAATATAATTTATAGGTTAAGTTAATCTACTTTATACTTCAAATTCTCTTTAAATATTTTCTATCAAATACAAATATTTTTTTTTTAAATTCACTCTAATCCATCTTCCTCCCTATTAAATCACTTCCACAAAACATAGGCTAAGTGTTAAGTGTCAATTATACCCCTTTTTGGACAAGACTTAATGAACAATTCTACTCATTCTTTGAACCACTGCAATATAATTGTTCTCTTTTTGATCCATTATGTGTGCAGATATAACTAACCCAAATTTAGCTAACAATACCTTAATACACCTCATTTTTGTGCAGGTATTGAGCTAGAGACTTGAGGATTGAAGATCCATAGGATTGGAAATCTAAGAAGCTAAGGAGCAGAGAAGAATGACTGCGCCGGGCATAAGATGACCCGCACCGAGCTTGAGAAGAACAGAGTGCCTCATCTCTGCAAGCCACATATGCGTCGGGCGCGAGACTACCCGCGCCGGGCGTGATCGAGACAGAGAGTACTTGAAACTCTCTAGAAGACATTGCGCCGGGCGTAAAAGGATGGATGAAAATTATAAAGGGATCTCCCGAAAAATTATTATCTTATTATTTTATCAAAATTTTCAATTTTTTACATTGGCCCAAGTCGGGACTGGACAAATTTATTATTTTAGAGAGTTTATTAATTTACCGAGTATTAATTTAAAGAGTTTCTACTGTAAAAATAATTAAAATAATTATTAAAACCAACATAAT